CAACCTGGTGTTAGGGGCAACCTATTATCTTACTTCCCCTTACCCCATTAAATATGGGAACAAGGGACAACCATTTTTAATTGTAACATATGTACGCTTGGCTATTGTTGAACGTACGCGTAGCAAAAATAGACACGTGAAAACACAGCGGCAGCTGACATTCCAAATTACACAGTAGACGGTGAAAACTCCTTTTCAACACGCATCCAAATCTATCTATCACGTCATTAAATAAATATATTCGATCAAGTTAACTCATTTTTATTCTCTCATATCTATTAAAATACTTTTCCTCCTTTCCCTAAGGTTTCCCCTTATCCTCATCTCTAAAAAAAATTATAATAAGATTTATAATTTATCAAAAATAAATCTAATAATAATATAACTAAAAAAAATTATATAATATTAAAAAATCATAATTCATAACGATAAATCAAATGTATAAGTAAATTTAAATGCATCACTATATAAAAAATCTTAAATATTAGTATTGAAATATTAAAAATATATTTTAAAAATATTAAATCAAGTAAGTTTTGAATTTATATTTGATAAATTTAATTATTTAAAGATATTAAAAATAATTATAGTCAAAATTTTAAAATTTGATTGTCAAAAAAATTTAATAATATTATATATATATATATATATATATATATAGTACACAAAAATTTAGGTAAGGGGTGGCTCCCTAATCCAAGATCAAAGCATACTTAATATCCAATTGTACACAAGAATTTACAGATTATCCACCAATAATAACAAATATTTTTAGACGGGTAAAAAGAGCGTCACTTAAAATATTACATATATTCAAATATCATCATACATAGATATAATACGATTCTAAATTTAAATTTATTCTAACTTAAATTTAATTGAATGTATGCTAATTTTTTTACCTTAGTCAAGTATATTTAAGATATTAGTCTATTCGTTTGTATATTAATAATTAATTTTAATTATAATCAAACATATATATTAATAATAAATTGAAAAAATAATTTTTTTATTGGTGTACCATTCATTTTTTTAATCTTTGTTGATCAATGGTGACACCAACTTTAATGGTGGTGGTTGACCACCAGTATTTTTTATTGTCATTTTCTTTTCTTATATTACATCTATATTTTCTTTTGTTTTTTTTATTTTCAATAAGTTTGTATGTATGACACATTTTCATATGCATTTATAACATGTTTTCTTATGCCTTTTGGTAGGTTTCGTTTGGCCATTTTTTCATTTATTTATTTTTCTCTAAGGGTTTATTTGACACCGCCACGACTGATCAAAATGGTGTTTATATGATATATTGTTGATATTTCTTGCTTTGGACCCTCTGATTGAATTTGGATGCCCGATTTGCGTTCATAGATAATTTTTTAGGTCGTTCGAGTCTAATTTGCAGTTTGTTAGTGGTCTTTCAATATTTTGATCCATTTTATAGTTCGTTTGCCGATGCGATAAGATATGTTTGTATCAGTCTTTGTTATAATTTCTTGGTTAGAATTTTAATCTTTCCTTGTGTACTGTAGTCCTTATGTAATATTAAATTGCTAGTTTTGTTTCAATGATTATAAGAAATTATCCTAATTATGTGGTTAATTTACGATTATGATTGTAAATCTTCATTGTAATTTGAGACATTTCCTATTTGAAATGGAATTAGTTGTATCTATCAAAAGAAAATAATAATAAATTTGATTCTTTTTTACTTATTGATTTTTATTGTAATCATAATTATAACTTTAAAATTTTAATAAAATAAAATAAAAAGTTTTAAATTAGTAAATTAGAATAAATATTAAGATTATACATAAAATGTGATATATAGACATTGTTTTTATTTAATTATACGCATTTTGAAAATCAATTCTTCCATTTATTTTCATATTAAATATATATAATCATTTAATATAAATATAAAATGATATTAAATTGATAAAAAAATTAATAGTTTATAAAAAAATTAAAACTTTCTATATATAATCATATAAAATGAAAAATGATACATCAAAATCGTAAATATATATCATCGTATATTCTATTAAAGTTTATGTGTCATTTGAATATTTATTATATATAAATATATTGATGGAGAAATAAATGTTGGTTGAGATTCGTGTAAATAACAAAGTATGTATCATTTGAAACGAATATGTAATTGCTCAACGTTAGAAGCTGAACTGTGGGGTGTACTTGAGGGGCTAAAAATGGTGTGAAACTCGGGAGCCAGGGAAATTGTCTTGAAAATAGATAGTAGTGATGCTTGGCAGTTACTGCAGGATAAAGATAAAACGAAAAGTAGCTCGATGATGCAACATATTGACGATTATCTCAAGCGAGACTGGAGTATCAAGATCAGGTGCAGTAATATGGTAGCAGATGGCCTATCAAAATACTCCTGGTCACTCTCTCAGGGGACACAAGAACTTCTGGAACCCCCTAAAGAAGTGGAAGCTGTAGTATGTAGAGAGGAACTGAGATAGACGTGTAATCTTCCCATGTAAAAAAAAGAAAAGAAAAGGGAAATCAAGAATCACTCTCAAAAGATTAAAAGTACACAGTAATAACGATAATTAAAACAGAAAGATAGCAACTAGTTTCCCTAGGGTTTAGGACCCAACCTATAATTTGCGAAGCTTACCAATTTTAGAAAGTTTTGGGAACATCGGCTAACATAAACAAGGGTCCCCGGAGATGCGGAGCTCGATCGCCCACGTAAGTGGAGTTTTGACCAGCTGGCCTTTCATTGGATCTTCAGTTCTTAATCAAATATAAAATGGAAAAGGGGTTTGCCTTAGCATTCAGATTAAGCAAATGTTTGTGTTTTGGTAGGAGGGCCATGATTACGATGAATCTGCTGAGAACCCAAGTAATATTATTTTTCTTCCTACATCTAACACACCGTGGATTGTAACAAGGCACGGTTCTTTGTTGTGAATAATCAAGGGTAAACTCCTCCATTCTTGGCCTCTAATTAGGACACTGTTTCCTAGTACTTTTATATTCTTAGTTTGAAATAACATAATTTAATACGATTAAGTTTAACCGAGTTTCAATTATAACATAAGTCGAATATATATAAATAATTTTTAATTGATGACAAGCTATTAAAATTTTAAGTTGATGTGTGAAATATGTTTATAATCTCTAACGTTACATTCTCTGACATATCATCACAAGAGAGACCTACCAGCTCGATAAAAATTAAAATTAATACGAGGATTTTGAAAACGGACTTTGATAATACTCAAATGGCGGGTCTGGGTTGGGGAATGAGCGGGTAGTTAAGAAAAGTCAACCCGACCCCTTAGGTACACGTGTTGGACCGACAACAGATGATGGGATTTCACTTTGTCCTTGACTACTTGACACGTTGCCTACCGCTCACCCAACCCAGCCTTTTTCAAAGAACAACTATGTGACTGGCTCCTGCAATTCTTTACTTTTTTTTTTCTTTTTTTACATATCGAAGTGCATTTCTTTACTTTATTCAATAAAATTGATTTTCAATAATCACATATTAATTGATAAATCTCCATTTTTCATTACCGGTAATTATTTAAGATAATTATTAGTTTACATCTTTTACTCTTAACAATATATGAATTAATAATTGTGAAAAAAGCACATAAAATTCATATAAATGTATTAATACATTTTCAATTAAGTTCCCTCCTCTTCATTTCTCTATCATTTTGCGGTGTAAAGTATGGGGGAAAGCACGATGGTACAAATCGAAAAGCATAATATATATTTTAAAAACCAAAATCATAGTGAAGGGAAGGAAACAAAGGCTTTGGTTTTCGACCACGAACTGTTTTGTTTCTTTATGAGTTGGACAGTTTCCGACTGGATGGGGATGAAAGTAACGTGCTAGAAAGTTTGTTGTATGATGGGTCTAATAATACGGCTCTCCGAACTCTGCTTCTTGTCATTTTTCTCCATGGAACTGTAGATCTACGTCCTTCTCTAGCTGTGCATGAAGCTCCATGAAATTATTCATTATTCACCTGAGAGGAGTGGGGTTTCCAAATCCTCTCTCAAATCTTATCTTTAATTAATGTTCTCCTTTCTAAGCTGTGAACCCCATGTTGCTTCATGCTCCCATGTCTGCTCGTTTTAGCTTTTAGGTCTGTTACACGGAACATTGTTCTGCTCTATTGAATAAATTTAGCATCTAATACTTAAAAAAAATACGATGTTAGTGAAATTGGCAGTGATGGTGAACGATTCCACATACCATGCGATGGTAAATGGGTTGTTCTTTTTAGTTAACAACACAAATGAGCACATCACCTCTTATGACTTTCTATTAAAAAATTAATGTCATTTCAAATTCATGATAAACTTTATGAAATTAAGTCATCACCCAGCAAACTGTCTCACTCTGCATTAAGAAACTTCCGTTTTCTGCTTTGTCTAACACGTGCAAGGCGTCAGTATATAGAAATTCACTTGCATTAAAGCGAAACTAAAATAATTGTATAGATATGTATAATTGTTTTTAAGATTAACGTTTTAATAAATAACAAAGATTTTATTTATTTAAGCATATATATCTTATTAAAAGTTGCCGGAAAATCCTTTTTCGTTTCACTCGCAGGATCGTTGGGTAATAAATTTATAGAAATTTGATGGTTACACTTCTACTAGCAATATATTTTGTCTTGAAATCAGCATATTGGCGATCTAATGGGCTAATCCGGAGCCACGAGGGTTTCTGCAGCCGGATGTTGTTGAATCCTGCCCATGGTATTCGCCAATCACGTGTTATTACATAGATATGGACATATATTCATAGATTATTATAATTCAGATATTAAGAGGTCATTAATTTCATCCATTTTTAGTTTATTATATATATTTCCATGCACAGCTCAACTCTCGTTGGCTATTAAGATACGCCTCCTTTATTCCCGAGTTTTGCATATACGTTTTCCACCACCATTCTCTTCCAAAGATTCAGTGCTGAAAGCTCCCCAGCTCGCCCCTAAAGGCTCTCGGCTTATCCTCCTCTTCGTCTCAAGATGAAGGTCAGTTTCTTTTTTCATATATATATGATTCTCTGCATACTCCTTAAAGTGAAGTTTTGAGTTCAAATTCACATCGTGGATCCCAGACCGAATGATTTTGATGAATGCTTTTCATATGTTCCATTGTAGTTCTTTGGTTGGGTGCAAAATAAGCTTAATGGGAAACCAGGGAGCAGTAAATCCCATACAGTTCCTACTACTAGTAAGCATTTTTCCCTCTTCGTTGTAATTAAACATGACTGATCTTTTATAAAGAATGAAAATAACGATAGAGGTTGTAATTCAAATTTATTAAACGTCATATATATATATCAGGGTATGTCAGAGGTGTCCAAGTAACCTCCACAAACAATTTTAGTCAGTGGGGATGCAAGTGAAATGTTGTTTGAGAAAATTGTACGTTGTCCTATATGCTTGTTTAACAAGGACCATTCTCATTCAACTTCCCCCAATAATATTCTTCAAACTTGTTTTTCTAAAACCAAGATCAGAGACGGGGGTTTTGATAAATCCATGGTCTTTGCCGTTAATATCCATAAAAAAATAACCCTGATAATGCCATGGGACAAGGACATGTGACATCTAGTGTTGTTTTTGTTTATCAGAGCACATGAAACAAGAGGCTCGACAAGAGTTCAGTGATTGGCCTCATGGATTGTTGGCAATAGGAACATTTGGTAACAATAATGACATTCCCGAAAATCCTGGATCCCGAAACATCACCCGACGAGATACGTTCGATATTGAAGAGGAACAGGAGCCGTCTTCGTCCGAGGATTTACACGAATTTACACCCGAAGAAGTCGGGAAACTAGAAGAGGAATTAACCAGACTCTTGTCCCGAAAACCCGCTCCCGATGTTAAAAAGGAAGTGGCAAATTTACCATTGGATAGGTTTCTCAACTGTCCATCGAGCTTGGAAGTTGATAGGAGGATTAGCAAGGCACTTTGCAGTGATTCGGGAGATAAATCGGATCAAGATGACATTGATCGAGCCATCAGTGTCATTCTGGGCAGATGCAAGGACATTTGTGCCGAAAACAACAAGAAATCCATTGGGAAGAAATCCATTTCTTTCCTCTTGAAGAAGATGTTTGTTTGCAGCAGCGGATTTTCACCTGCCCCGAGTATCAGAGATACACTGCAGGAATCAAAAATGGAGAAGGTACACTAAGCAGAAACACGATTCCATATCTTATTAAACTTTATAATCAAACTGCGAAATTATATCAAATGTTTTACGATTCAACAGCTTTTGAGGGTAATGCTCCGCAAGAAGATTTACAATCAAAATCCTTCTCGAGCATCAGCCACAAAGAAATATTTACAAGACAAACAAGCACCCAGGAAGCAAAATAATGAAGAAGAAACCCAGGGGAGAAAGAGTGAAGATGGATATAAATGGGTGAAGACAGATTCTGAGTGTAAGCTTTTCTTGGTAGATTTAATTATCATCCAAAAACAAACCAGAAACTACGTTTTTTAATTACTTGCTGTTGAATCTTATTGCAGATATTGTTCTGGAGATCTAAAAGCACATAGATTTGCAGGTTCCTATGTTCTATAATCTAGGATTCAAGAACATGAAATGTACCACGACTGAAAATTTCAGATCATATCTATGAATCGATTATGACAAGATAAAAGGAAAAGTGTGCGGATGTTGTAGTTGTGTTTTTTTCATGGTTGTAACTATGGACGCAGTGCAACCCATGTTCATGAGGTATCTGAAATTGATTTCTGTATTTCACCGGAAGAGCTCAACGGCTAAACATTATTTGTATTTATCCTTATTTTCTACCCCGACTCTTCTTTTTCTTCTTTTCCTTTTTTAAAAAAAAAAACTTAATTATGGACACGATCATGATAACCTAAATTGATTCGAGTTTAGATCAAATTTAAATTATTACATCAAGGTTTATATCAGATTTCAATTCAATTTAATTTGTTTGATCTATATTTAGATCGGGTTTATATCATGTTTAACTTTATATTTATCCTTATTTACTTGTGTTTATAAGATTATCATGTTTGAAAATCCATTCTATAAAATAATCTTATTGTTTACTTTTGTATGAAAGAATGATTTATTTAATTTTTATAATTTATATTTATGTATTTAATCTGTGATAAAATGTATAATTATAAAAAATTTATATTTAATACACCGTGTCATGAGATTACCACAAGTTCAGAAGTTGATGTTTTAGTGTATGATTAAATAAGCAATTTAAATTTTGTTCATTTTCAATAGCAAAACGTCCAACTTTAGATTAGAAAGGAAATATATGTGTTATGCTTTTTATCAAATCATTTTTAAATTGTTAAATTTATGTGATTGTTTATAAAGATTATGCTTAGTTTTTAATAGAAGATTATGCTGAGTTGGAATGTTTTAATTCATATTAAACCCCTTAATTTATAATTGCAATAATCGTTGTGAAATGGTTGTATTTAACTTTCTGCGTTGAATCAATTTTACCAAAGAAAAAGACATTTGGCAACAACATATTTCGAAATGAAGCCAATTTTCACCATGTTAAACCCCACGACCTAATTCCCAATCCATTTTCCCACCCGTCTCTAATTTTCCCGCATTTGCCCGGACCTTCTCTCAATTTTCTCTCTCTTCCGGTGAGATTAGATCTGAAAGCTCCAATATATATTTTTAACGCTTAGCCCCTTCAAACCGGAAGAGAAAAATAAACCCCAATTTCTTGACTTCCGAAGGTTTTCCGCGTAGGCTTCTTCTTCTTCTTCTTCTTGGATCTAGGATTATTGGAATCTTTGGTTTTGGATAATTCGTGATATTTACGTCTTTGGGTTGCTTTTGTTTTTCTCGGAGGGGTTTTATGTCGCTAAATTTTGGAGTTCGGGGATAGATTATAGAAGAGAGAATTCTCAACGGCCAATGCCATATTTGGGTAATTGGTATTGGAAAGGTCTATTTTTGGCCTAATTTTTTTGGAGAGACCCAAAAAAGGTGATCAATGTCTTGGGCAGGCCCTGAAGATATCTACCTCTCTACTTCTCTTGCCGGTTACCTTGACAGGATGCTCTCTCTCTTTTGTTCTCGCTGTTAAATTTATGCTGCCCTGAGATTTATTCTTTGCTGCAATAAATTGTTTTCTTTTGGCATTGACTTTCAGTTGTTCTATTAGGTGTAGTTGTTCCGTCGTTTATATGCTGATGACTTGTTGAATTTCTAGTTGTATGCTTAATCTCATGTAGGGTTCTTATTCATTTAATTGTTTATGATTCTGCAATCCATTTCCGAATTTGCATTTTGTTTATGATGTCTTTTAGGATTGTCCATGTATTAGTTAATAGTCAACAAATAATTAGTAGACCTATTAGTTAGAAGTTTGATTTGATTCTATAATAGTTAAGTAGACCTATTAGTTAAAAGTTTGATTTGATTCTATAATAGTTAAGTAGGATTTGGATAAAACTTTGGGATTTGATATGGAAGAAAATTTAAAAATAAAAAAAGTTTCAACAAATTGGCCTGTTGCATGACTGTTGTATTGAGTCTTTGCTGTGGAGCTTTCTGAACTCTGATATTGTGTTAAGGTTTATAAATTTCCATCACTTTCTTTGTTTTACTTCTCATTTTCTGCCAAACATAGATCTTTGTTAGAGCGTTTAGTTGCAGTGTTAGAATCGAAGTTCAAACATATGTTTGGAAAGTATTCTGTGATGCCAGTTTCTACATCTCATTATTCCATATATGATGCAGGAAAACTTTTAGCGCTGCTGCGAGATGGTCGGAAGCTTATGGGAACATTACGTTCATTTGACCAATTTGGTATGATGTCTAGTTTCCTAACACTTCTGGGCTTGACAAGCTACTGGTTTTATCCGTTCCTGACAATTTGAAGTTTGTTTCAGCCAATGCTGTTCTTGAGGGTGCTTGTGAAAGAGTTATTGTTGGTGATCTTTTTGGCGACATCCCTTTAGGTCTATATGTAATCCGTGGGAAAATGTTGTCTTGATTGGTGAACTGGTATGATTTGGCTAAGTTATCTAATTCCATTGATTTCCATTAGCCTTTGTTTTAATTTATAATCTCATTTTGGTATCTATAATTTGCATTTGATGTTAGGACTTGGAGAGAGAGGAACTTCCTCCATATATGACTTGTGTTTCTGTCGCAGAAATTAGAAGGGTAAGTTTTTGAATCTTTTGTATGAATTATGTGCTTCTTTGAGCAATAATATTAGTTCCCTAAGAAATTATTGATTCTCTGAATACTCATAAGCTCCACTTAGTCTTCTTAGCCCCCCCCCCCCTCCCTTTTTCTTCCTTCTTTCAGTGTCTCAAGTTTCTGTGGACATGCATTATTATTATCATTTATGTAATGTTGCCATGTAGAAAAAATAGAGAGTAAAATTGATAACCTTTGAAATCAAGACATTCAAATTCTTAGATATATTTAACTTTTAAGCATTCACATTGATTTTCAACATGAGGATGGTGGAAGATAATGGGTCATGCAGCGGTAATTTTTTTGTTTACTGATATGGGTCAAATGGGAGGTGAACCAAGTATTTCTTATGATAGTGTCTGAAATAAGGAAGAATAAATTAAGGGAACTCTAACCATCTTATGATGGGTCATGGAAAAACTTTTGTTTGGAAAATATCTTCATCACTGATGATAAAAGTCAGATGTTTGTAATTGTCTGTTGGTCCTTTTGATGGTATGCTCATCAATATGTGGTTAACTAATTTGAGCATTAGAGGAATTGAAGTTTAAAAGAAATTGGTTGTACCAGACCTCTTTCTGTCAGCCCAGTTTCTTGGGCAGGATTGGCAAGGTCCCCACTTCCCACGATGGGAGTTACTTACCATGCAGCTGCATTTTCTTAATGCTTATGATGCGATTATATATGGACATTGATTTCTAGTGCATTTTACATATTACTAGCAGTTAAACCAAATGTAGGAACACAATTTAACTAAAATATAAGATTCATCTGTATTTTCTCTAGATTGTTGTCCTTTATATATGGAAACTCTGTTTTTGGCAAACAACTAGTTTATTGCATTGTTGTGAAGTGTTTTGTAGTTGGATTAATAAATGACTTTGTGACTTATGCAGGCACAGAAGGCAGAAAGGGAGGCAACAGATCTGAAAGGAACAATGAGGAAAAGAATGGTGTTCCTTGATTTGGACTAACTCATGTCTCCTGCATCCTGTTGTAGTGATCCGCAAGTTTTATGGCGGTTGTTGGTGCAGGGTAGAAGATATTCCATCTCTCTTTCTTTCCATAATTTCCCTCCCTCTACATTCTGTTCTTGTCTTGTAACATTTGTGAACAAATGCATCTCACAAAGCTTCGCCATGATTTGTCGGTGCTTTAAGTTATGGGAAGTCATTTTGTGTTCTCTGATACCAGTTTTTTGCGTAGTCTTTTCTCGTTATTGTTGCTGTTAGACTAGACATGTGAGTCTGCATCAAATGAAGACACGTCAGCGACCCTTTCGATAAAAAAAAACGTACTTTCCAAGCTATCCTATCCAGTCAAAAGGTCCCACTAAAATAAGTTCAGAAAAATTTAAACAATTTTTTTGAAGATTATATTACGTGTAAATTGTAAATTGAATGATATATTTTAATTTAAATTCGATCTTGATTTAAATAATAAGTTATAGGTTTAACTCATATTGTTTAATATTTTATAATTTAATAATATTATTCTTATAATATTTGAATAAACATTATAATTTTAAAAGAAAAAAATATGGTTAAAATTGACTAAAGATTAAATCTATAATTTAATGTACAATGCAGGGACTAATATCAAAATTTGACCTAAGATTTAAATCATGGTTAGAGGACTCTAATCATTATATGACCGAGAAGGTAAAGATTAGATTCTTTTCAGCTCTGTCTGTTTCCACCGTGCCTATCATTCTCTCGTTCTTACAACTATAAATTTCTAGTCATACAGTTTACTTGCTCCTTTAACCTTGGCCTTTTTCTAGCTGTCCCTGAAATAATAAGTTATTCATTTTACTCTGCAGATCAGCAGATCCAACCAAAATCTCCATTTTTCTGTTCTGTTTTAAGCAATAGATCTTTGGGTAGCAATGCCGAAGCTTCGAAATACTCTTTTCCTTCTATGCCTTTTGTGGTTCTGCTTTGTTTCCATCACTGAAGCTTCAGTTCATGGGTACAATGGAGAGAAATTCGTCAGTAAAGGCAATGCATTCGTCGTCCATGGCGGCAGCGAAGGCATATATTCTTCGTTTGCGGACCCCTACAATGTGATTGCCATTGGAGGTGACTCTTACATCCGGTATTCTTGCACTTGTCCTTTTCTTTTCTTTTTTTGATTCTTTGCAGTTCGCATGTTTTATGGAAGTCTCTGCTGATTTTAGGATTTAGATCTCCTTACTTTTTCTTATAGTTTTAGTGGGTTTTTGTTTCAGTTGAGTGGGATTTGAGAATTTTTAGGATTTTGAATTAGAATTGGGTGGCAAAGACGATTTTGAGTAGAAACAGTGCTGGCAAATTTAAAGTTCATAGACTGTAAGTTTGCAAGTGAAACGGAACTAAAAGATCAAACTTTGCTCAAATTTAAGATTCTTTCCGATCTTGTTTAGTTTGGAGGTGTGGTCAAGT